CTGAAGTCAAATTTTTAGGCTGTATATCAACCAGAGCCAGTGTCTCATGTTATAATAAAGGTGCCTATGTAGTATACACATGTCATTCCAACAGTATAGTCCTGTGATGAGTTTTAATAGGGGCTTTATGTTGATAAATGTTAGTGTCTGATTTTGTAAAGGGACTGATGATGAAACTCACCTCATCAGGCAGAGGGCTGAAATGATCACCTGTTTTCAGGCAAAAGGCGGACCGCCAAAAAAATATGCTATAATGTTTATTGGAACTGTGAGATTTTTTTTACGTGTTAATAATGTTGACAGACATGTTTCTGGATTGTGAAGATATGATCTGTAGCCTTTAGTGCCAAAAGCTGGTCTGCTCATCTGACAGAGATCACAGCAGCACTCTCAAAACAGCTGACAGATGATGCAGCAGTGCAACAGTTCATATTTAATTGACGTCACTTTAAAATGACATCTCATTTCTTTAAATGACTCCTCTCTCCTCGCGTCTCCTCCTCGACTCTTCAAGCTTGCATCTCGGGTGGGAGGGACTAAGACAAGCAAGGAGGCACACATTTGGGAAATGAGAAAGGCCCATGCTGTTGTTGTGATGTTAGCTACAGTAGCAGGAGAGTTGTGAGTATCGCTGTCTGGAGCTGGTGTGCTGGTTCTGGGACTGTCCTGTCCTCTCTGCATGTTAGCTTCAAAGCAGCAACTGTAGGCGACAATTTGCTAACCCACAACCTAGCTAATATTAGTTAGATTACTTGCTGGGTCGTTGTTTGCTCTACATCATGGTATTTGTCATGGTATTGGATTTCTCCAGAATTGCATACCACACCTTTAAATATTAATTACAAGCCAAGACCAAATGTCACACAGATCTACTCACAGTTTTCCCAGCTGCTTCCCTCTGCACACGTCACTGACTACCACCTCCTCCACCCGGCCTCTCTATGAAAAAACACAGAATAGAAAGGGTCTTCATTTCAGTCACATAATATCAATAATTCTCAAGATTGATAAAAATTCAATGTTTAGATTGAATTTGCGAATTTCAGTTTTTAAAGGAAATAAAAATGTCAACTCTTTTTTTTTTTTTTTTATGGTGGTAAAGTATGTATGTTAATGATTTCAACCCTTCTATTAGCCACTCCATTAATAAGTAAATGTAAGAAAAATGTAGAGAAATTGCAGTTGTATTAATTGTTAAATATGCACAAATTGCTTGCCGGGATGTCATTCACCTTAGCACAGGAATGGATGAATTTGTGTTCTGTGATCAATGTAGCCGTAGCAACGATCTGTCCCAGATTTGTGTCCTCCACCACAACGACGTAGTAGTCTCCGGTCTTCTTCATGTGCTCAAACTTTTCTGGAAGCCAACATATGTGTTTTTTAAAAATCTTTGTTGATATTTTGTTACACTGGTTTGTATTTAAAGTTTGATTTGGATGATGATTGTTCTTAAATGTGTGACCTGATGTATATGGTCAACTGTTTTGGCAGGAAATTCAAGTTTACTTTGGGGTGTTAATAGTAAATATTCTGAATAAATTAATCAGAATGTCACTTCTGTCTTATATAAAAGGTAGCATTATGGCTAAGCATGACTTACTCGTGAACTGCTCTGGTGAGACATCGCCCGCCTGAGTGAGTTGAGATAAAACCTTGAAAAATCCTGGAACACAGAAGCAAAAGAACCTTTGGTGAAAATGTCCAGGTGGGTGGTACTCACACGCCATCTTTTGTTTGTTATTCTTCATTTCTGTTAAGTATCACATTTTTGTTAAATTACCAAGATCTTCCATACTGGACACCAAGGAACAAAAAACATGCTTTCCACATTCATATTCTCTTGAGAATACAAGTACTGGAATATGTTGTCCATCCAGTCTCTGACTCACCCTGTTGAAGTCTGCCATACAGAGTGGCCTGAGCACCAGACCTTCCCCTGGGCTGGACGGGGAGATGGGGGGAGAGAAGGAGACAGCGTTGCTACTCCAGTCTAGCTCCTGAAGCAGGGAAGGCTCAAAAAGTGGAGTCTCGTCCAGCAGCATTCCACAATCTGAAACTGAATGCCAACGTTGTTTCTAATCTGTCTAATATACATCAGCACAATAAGCTAACATATTGTAAATATGTTTGCTCTAAGTCACACAGAACTTTGACCTGACAAATTCTATTTCACCTGGCAAAATGTTGTCTTTACTTTACTGCAATGCTTCAGTTGTTGACATGCCAGTTGGCATATCAATGAGAACACCTAGTTAAATATGAACTACAATGCACATCCTCTTGCAATAAACTAACTTAACTAGGTTTTACCAGGATGTAGTCCAGGACATGTAATATGAGCAGGGCCCATTCACACATCAAGGCCAACAGGTAACATTATCACTGTTGTTGGCTTTAAAACTGGAGTTTTTCTTCATTCTGGTTTCCATGACAGCAAAACACCATTTAACTTTACTGGTGTCATAATTTCCAGATCACCAAGACACGCAAATAACAATATGTCTGTGTTTTAAAGTGCCCAGTGTGGGCATTGTATTTTGCAGTAGTAGCTTGTGTTACACTTCAATAACTATTTCACACCGTCCACAGTGTCTTGGCTAGCTAACGTAACGTCAGGAACAAATTACCAGTCTGATTATTAACGATCAATTATATATCATATCTAGTTAGCTAACGTTACGTAACCAGATATACAGTCTACAAAGACTCTTACTTTTCTCGTGTGACCTGTCAAATAGCTACCTGAGGTAATTTTCTCTAAAAAAAAAAAATCGTAGCTAGCGTCAGAGCTGTAACGTTAAGTTAGATTCACACTTCAAATAAAACATTGGCGTTAACGATACCTCTTTAAGGTTAACTTACACTGCCATGCTATGCAGCTAGCTGGCTAACGTTACATAGCTAGCAGAACTACTTAACTTACCAGTACAAAAAACACACAAGAAATTATGCTCTACTTCAATTCCCAGACGTAGAAGTAACGTACAGTGACAACCGGGAAGTTCCAGTGGGTTTGTATGAGGCTGTGTTACAGATACATCATTAAAATGAACAGCGTGGGTGTTGTCGGCTGCTGTTTCCGCCTGCCACGAGCCCTTCTGTATGACGTGGCAGAGATGCTGTAGGTAAGGGGCGCGGCCTAATGACGTTAATCTATCAGTAAAGCCACACATCCCTACCAGAGCCCAGCATATGATCCTTACTTAAACGAATCATTTCATACTCCATCGAGAGCGATTTCCTTCTGGCTCAATGCTCAATCCAAAACACACACACACATTTATTGGACTAATAAAGTCAAAGTCCAGTGTTTTGGATACTGTCCACTGCACCTTAGGCAAGTTTCATCATGTTACACGTTTAACACTTTTTTATATACAGTCTATGGTTTAACAGCGTAATATTTAAGTCTCTCTCTGATCGGAAAAGACCAAAAGCCAAGCCCAAGCATTAGTAGAAGAAAGATTGAATTACTATATTTTGTTAAAAAGCTGTTTTAAGCTCGGTTTATTAAGTCTTTTGTATTAACATATTTTACAAAAACTAGATTTACAGAAATTATCCATAACTGAACCATTCTTGATTTAGGCACAAAAATACAGGAAAGCAGTCCCCCCAAAAAATTTCAGTTTTGATTAAATAAGTCATGGTTATGAAAGATAAAAGATGAATAGGAAAATAGATCATGGATAGTTGTTAAATACCTGGATGAAAAATACAAAAAATGAAAACAAAACTGTCCAATTTCATTTTTACATTTTGACTAATTGAAATCTGAAATCTAAATCCTATATTGTATCTGCGAACAACAACCCGCAAACAGAGTTTGAGCAATAAAATAAACACACAATGTAGATCACAACACTTCAACGCTTTTAGTAGATGTTTGTGGGATTTTCTTTGGGATAAAATGGAAGGAAACAAAAGCACTTGTCTAGATTCATGCATATCTCACCCCAAACTGCTCTTGCACTGTAATCACAAGAAAATCCAACACTTATAATACAGACAGTCTCCATCTTGGTGTCCATCAGTATGTCTCAACCAGCTACAGATTTAGTGAAATTTTATAATACCGAAAATGTCCAGTCCATGTTGTACATTGCTGTACATTGTTAAAATAAGATCTCTGAGCAGAGGATGATAATGTTCCTCGCTGGTATAATTTTTGAATTGGCTCTCCTCAAAGTGAATAGACAAAAGGCAGCACAAATAAATCACCCAAAAAATGTCTTCATAAAAGATTCTCAGTCATTCAGGTCATAGAAGTATTATTTCAAAGGCAACTGGATTTGCTGTTATGTCTTGAGAAAAGATTTTGCTGCTGCTCAAATTCGCTGCCCAAGCCTTTTGACTGAGTGGCAAAATGTCTTCAAAAGACAACAGCAAGTCCAGCTGTAACATACTTAAAACAATTTATACATAACCTAAAAATCAGATGACCAAGGATGACCCATTAGTTTGGCAGTTCATCTTATTCAGAGAGAACTGCTCATTATCAGAAGGTAATTTCAGGATGACACCCAACATACTTGTACAAAAAAATAATACATCCCCTTTGTTAAGTATGCGTCTTAAGGGAAAGGTATTAGAAAATGAAAATGTACATGCCCACTGCCCCCCTTGTTAAATAACAAAATGCAAACAGTTTGCAATGGGTGATATTACACACTAAATACAGAACCCATGCGGGTCAAAAACACTGTTTGCAGCATTATTTTGATAGAAACATTCATATTTGACGGAAAGCCTGAACAATACTAAAGTGACATTCTCTTACTCCAAGGTAAGAAATAAAGACTTATTTTTCCTACACTTAATTCACAGTAAAATAATAACATATAAGATGAATTTCTTCATCTAGACTGTTGCTTTCTGCCACCAAATCAAATGAGAAAAAATAATGATAAAAAGGAAAACACATAAGGATCCAAACAGATTTATCTAGTGATGCTACCTACAAACCCTCTCTCATAAAAGACTCTTCTGAATGCAAAACATGCTCATTTGCCAGTCCCAATCATGGCAGATACTGACTCCCTACTGAAGCTGGTGGTTGCAATGTGTGGCACATGATTAAAGGGCAATACAACCTTGCATTTCTTGACTTGCACCCATTAATTTATATAATGCTCCAAATACTCTGGTATCAGTGAGGCAGAGGCCATTCACAATAGTCCCACCTTATTTAGGCAGCCAAAACAGTCCAAAGGCCATGTTTGCAATGTTGTTTTAATAATTGTTTTGAATAGGTGATGACCATTGACTGTACACCAAATGTGGGGGGGTTTGAAATAGCTGTCAGTGCCTCGTGGGATGACAACGTGGTAGACTCTTTTGCTGAAACCAATCTGTGTATCAGGGTGCCGGGTCCTGTTGATTTTGCATGCGTCTCTCTGCAGCTGCCGCCATGGTTCTACGTCTCAGCACCGTCAAGTTCAATTCTGGAAGAATGTCCTCCTCCAGTCCAGGCAAATCCTCATCCTGGTCCTCTGGACTCTTGTTTAGATATCTCCTACAGGGAGGTAAGGAACAGCACATGACCACGGGAACAGAAAATGCATGATAGCAGGAAAGAAGGCAACCAGGAATGCCCTACATTAGTTGACAAATGTCAAACTGGGCTTTTCAGCTACTCAGGTAGCCAAGCAAAGGTCTTCAAATATTTTACTTGACTGACTTTGGGTTACAGACTGAGTAAAACATGCCCACAAGGAAAGGTATATTATCATTAAACAGTATACACTGCTGAACTAAAAAAAACCTCCTATAAGAGGTACAGACCTCCAGCCATCATTGTACCAACCTGCGAGCCTGCTGGAGCAACTCTTCTTTCCTCTGCTTTAACATCTTCTGCCTCTCCTCGGCCGACTTAGAGAAGCGACCTCCCCTGACCTCCATGCTGTCTGACTCACTGAGGCCCTGTTCAGCTGCTCCACTGGGGCCGTCCAGCTCGTCTGGTGCAGAGCTCACCGGTGTAGGGGCACGCTCTATGGCCTGAGGAAGGACAAACACAGAAAATGTGTTACATTCTGCCTTTCGAGAACAACATAGGAAAGTGATCAAGGTGAAACAGGAGGTCCAGGAAGCATTGACAGAAGTGTTGAGAAATGAGCAGAGCACTGTGTTAACGACAAACAACGCTGCTATTAACATTTAGCCTCCAGCTGACTGACCTGTGTTGGGAAAGGCACCTGTATGCGTCCCTCCAGGATGTTGTCAGTGGTGACCTCCACAGAGCGGGTCAACTGCAGGTCCTGCATCACCAGGTAGGAGGGCACCTGAGGGAACATCTCCTGGATCTGATGGGCCTGATGAGCGAAGCGAGCAATAGAAAGGTGATTCAGAGAAACATGGTTGGAGAGAGAAGAGCAAAAGTGAAAGCCAGACTTTAAAAAAATAATAATAATAATAAAAAAAAAAAGGTTGACACAAGCAGGTCTTAAAACCTACAATATTAGTGTAGAGTAGAGTGTAGAGTATAACACTGTAAAATACTTGGAATCTTTGTTCAAATACACATGGCATCTTTTGTAACAGTTTCTGCAAAATCTGTTGGTCAAATAAAGAGGTTATCATTATTGTCAACAAGCATTTACAAGGAAATCAAACACCATGTGAGCAAAGTAATGATGTTAAGAGCATTGGAGCTATGGTAAAAACCCAGGCAACATTTTCAGGCACTGGCTACTGGTTAAAAGCAGGACATGGAGTAAAGAATGAGATATAATTATGGCAGGATTGGCTTTGTGGCAAATAGGAGTGTCATAAAAAGGTTCAATACCTGACCCGATCTGTGTCCATCCCGATCATCCCTCTCTCTTTCTCTACATCTCTCTCTCTCTACATCTCTCTACATCTCTCTCTCTCTACATCTCTCTCTCTCCATCTCTCTCTCTCTCCATCTCTCTCTCTCTCTCACCCCAACCGGTCGAGGCAGATGGCCGCCCACCCTGAGCCATGGCTCTGCTTGAGGTTTCTGCGTCTTAAAAGGAAGTTTTTCCTTGCCTCTGTCGCCTAGTGCTGCTCTTGGTGGGAACTG